TAATGATACAAAAATAATACATGAAAATGTTAATAAATTTTCTTTTTTCAATATGCACTCAAAACTTTTTCTCCATGAGACAGCAGACTCTAGACAAAAGTGCCTGATGTAAAGACTTCCCAATTTCCTTACATCATCAGTTGCAAGAAAAAAAGGTGAATCACTTCTAAGTTTCTCCCCACTCAGTCTTTCCAGGCAGGTGGCAGCTCCTGGGACACAAGAGCCGGAGCATGGAGGGTGGACCAGGGTGGGGACCAGACCAGCCTGGATACAAACACCAAGACGGAAGATGCCCAGGCCTTCCTGCTGAAGCTTTTGTCTACCCTTGACTCCAAGATTGTGTGCCTAGTGCCCCTCGGGGCCTCAGAGTGACGTACTTCTTTCATTCCAGGAATTGAAAGGGTCTTGTCCTTCCCAATAATAGAGAAAAAAAAAGAGCCAAACCATTGTCTGTGCCTTTCCTTTCTGCACTGAGCTTTTCACGGGTCTCACCCAGAAAACAAGCCCTGAGAACTCTGGTCTAAACAATCAGACCTTTCCTAAATCCCCTTCAGCAATCCACACACTTCACTTCGGGTGGTTGGACCCTCACTTCCAACCGCCCCGAGGGGCTGGGATGGATCTGCTGCCGGGTTTGAGTATGGAGGGAGGAAGCAAGAACTACGCGCCTCCGCTTCAGTAAGAAAAGCCATCAGGACTCAGGCCCTTGGCCCCCTCTCTCCCTCCATCTTCCGAGAGCAGTTCTCAGCTGACTTGCTGAGCTGTACCTCCTTCTGTACAACTTAAAGGTGCTTCTTTCCACTTCCAGATACACCCCTGTTCCAGGTGTAGGGCTGGTGTAGGGGCCCTCACACGCGACGTGATTCCCTCCCACGTCAGCCACCAGGATCAGCCCACGCTGTTTCCTGAACTGTTGTCTGCCTTCCTGGTGTCCCTAACAAAGGGAGGTAACAACAGCGCTGGGCTCCCCCTCTTAAGTGTGAAGATCCTACACAACAAGCATGGTCATCCCCTCCAGGCTTAATCTGGTAACTTAATTGCTACAGAAAAGAAAATAAACCACAAATAAACCTATTTGCTAAACAAATCCTTTGAACTCGATGAGACCTCTAAAGTTTATGTTAGAGAGAGAAAAAAAAAAAAAGTTGGTCCCCCCTAACATCCCTTGGCCATAGGTCTCTGAACTCAGCCAGGGGCTGGCAGATGCCGCCAGGAACCCCGGCCCTGTCTGGCCTTGCACTGCACAGGGAATGTGGCGGCCTTCACGAATGAAAGTCAAGACCCACCAAGATGAGTGAACATCCTCTGTTCAGGCTTGGTCTCTCGGGACTGTCATGAGGAGGAAGACACTGGCTGATCCTTTCTTTTCTGGGTCTCTCCCCTTATCCCATACAAGCTTCCCTGCCTTCCTAGCCAAGCAGCCAGGAGGTCCTGGAGGTCTGGCAAATCCTAACCCCATGGCCCCTGGATCCCAGGCCCCGAGTACGAAGCTTTTCAAGCCAGTGCACCTGGGACTGGGCAGTTCTATCAATTCACGGCCATGGCTTTCATGCTTGTTGGGACAGTGTGGGAGGGTTTAGAGGGGAGAATGAGAAAGCCATGAGCTTTCCAGATTCATCCTGCGCCTCTCTCTGGAACAGCTTCCTGCTGTCATTCGGGCTTGGTGTGGTTCAGGAGCATGGCCACAACACTTCTTAAAAACCCACTCCGAACAAACATGCTGGGCAGGGGCACGGATACCTGCATCCAAGTTAGAAAAGGACAAAGGCTGACCGAGGGGCGTCTAAAATCCCGCACACTTTCTGGGCTCTCTCCTGCTCCGATGCAGCATGCAGGTAACGGGGTCTCATTCACCTTCAGAACGATCCGGAACTCATTTCCCTGAAACTGCCCAGCTCAGCTCAGCTCAGCTCAGCTCAGCTCAGCTCAGAGTGGAAATGGCCAGGAGACTCAAGGATCTGTCCCTCAGACATGGGGAGAGACCCCTAGCAGGAGTGTGTGTGTGTGTGTGGGGGGGG